ATTCTCCATCTTACTATATTTTATGTATTTCTTACATTTGTGTAATGTGTTCATGTGCAGTGTACACACCATAGTGCACATGTAGAGGTCAGAGGATAACTTGCAGAAGTCATTTCTCTGCTTCTACCAGGCAGGTCCTGGAGATTAAACTCAGGTTGTCTGATTTTTGGTGGTGGTGCCTTTACCTTCAGAGCCATCTGGCTGGCCCCACACATTTTTTGAGACAGGATCTCTTGGTGAGACCTGGGCCTTGCCAATTAGACTAGGCTAGCTGGCTAGCAAGACTCAGAGATGACCCTACCTCTATTTCTTCAGTGACAAACTTATAAGTTGGCACCTCTACCCCTAGGTTTTTACTTGGTGTCTGGGAAGCCAAAGTCCAGCCCTCATGTTTGAGTGGTGCCAACTAAACCATTTGCTATTTATCTTTTTAAAAGATGATCTACAATCAGCTCATTGCTTCTTTTAGCTTTAGAATGTGACATCTTAAAAGATAAGGAATCCTGGGTACCTCAGCCTAACTTGATAAGCATAAGAAAGCAGTCTCTATCTCATGGAAGCTTGCCCATTTGCCCAGAATTAGGCATCATCTCAGCCATATGGAAACTTCCAGATAATATTTTGCTGCAGGAATGATGGAGGTGCTTAGGCATCCAGAGTATCATTTCCCCAGGTGGTTTGGGGGAAGTGCAAGGGTTCTGCAAGGATGAGCTGGGGAATCTGTGGCTCCAGGGCTCCTCCCTGAGATCCTTCTTTTCAGTTCTTCAAAGAGAATGTGCAGTACCTGCTGCAGCCCGGCCAGCCTTTCCTCTCTGCAGCTCAGATTACAGAAAAATACCTCAAAGCTAAATGAATAAATGCCATGTCTTGGCTTTTTTTCCAGTAAATTTTAAGAGTTTGATTTCATTTGGAAAGCTTTTATCAAAGAGGAGTTTTTTTTAAAAAGAAACATGCATTTGAAAAGCATAGCTCTCCTCTAGGAGTTCTCACTTTTTAATTGAATGTGTGTGTGTGTGTGTGTGTGTGTGTGTGTGTGTGTTGTGTGTGTAAGAGGAGGATGGTGGCCAGGATATAGAATACCCTCTTTTGGTTTTTATGGGCAACAGCTTCATTATCTCATAGTATTGTCTTGATGCCCATGGCATCTTTGCTGAAGAGAAGAGACCTGTGTGATACTAGTCTTGAGTTATGATTTTGCTACTGGCAACACTGGACAAGTTCTGTGAGTTCCTTGATGTCTTTCTTAGCTCCTATCAGGGGAAGGAGAAGCTGTGAGGACCACAGTGATGCATCTTGCTTTGCAGTTTATCATTTCTATCTTCATGATATACCACTTCCCCAGACACATCTTGGGGTCTCTTGGTCTCATCTTGGTTTCTTTAGGTCATTATTAAGGCATCTGTGGCTGGCTGTGTTAATTTTTGCTAGAGTTGTAGCTCTTCTTGCCCTGGATTCTCCAGAATATGGAGTTCATTCAGGAATGCCTACTAGGAATGTTGGTGGTCTAGGAAAAGTCATGGTGATTGTTCATGCCCCTATCCTTTCAACTCCTTTATGATGTGGTAGTCAAGCACACACTAATGGATTTCATTTAAATGGAAAGGCTTGGGCTGCTTGCTTTAGTTTATTACTTATTATTCTTTCATTCTGTTCTCAACGAATCTACCATAACTCATACATAGACCATGATATAAGGAGAGTGAGTAGAAAGTGCTTATTCTAGCTACTGAACATACGGAATTCTAAAATACATAGTTCTTACTTACTCATACATATATGATAGAAATAATGAGTTCCTGGAGGAGGTTTCCTCTACTCATTTTCTCATCTGTGTGTGTGTGTGTGTGTGTGTGTGTGTGTGTGTGTGTGTGTGTGTGTGTGTGTGTCAGGGGGAGAGGGTGTTACTCATTTTGGCCAGAAGAGGGCAGTACTGCATATGTGGGTCTCCCTGCAGCCATGACATTCCAGAAGCCCAAAACTATTAAATGACAAGTAATTTTGGAACACTGGCTCAATTCCTTTTGTTCACACGTTCCAAATTGTCAGGTAACAAGAATCCCAAAGGCCAATGTTGAGTTAGGTCTTGAAGAATTTGTGATATGCCGAGGGCACTCAAGTTCATTATCCCATGTATGAATAACTAACTATAGGAGAGTATTGTCTAGGTAGCAACATAAAAGTGAGTCCACATAAGGCTTATGATCTGGTGTCACATGCTTAGACTCCCAGCACTCAAGCACCAAGGCAGGAGATCAAGAATTCAAGGCTAGCCTGGGCTACACTGTAAGTTTGAAGCCAGCTTGCATTACATGAGACATCTTTAAAAAAGTCTGAGAGAGCTGTGGGAGAATGGCACTCTAGTAGAAGAGAGACCACAGCACAGACTTTGAGATGAGAAAAATGTGCTGGAGGAAGAGCCAGGAGTCAACATGTTTGTGATGCACAAATTGGAGATGTGTCTGTGGGTCTGACCATGGCTACTGGCTGCCAATGAACTATTACTATGCACTAGGCACGAGTCTGAGAACTGTCTGGCTAAAACTCATTAAATCTCCCCACCCTGTGGTTAATCTTATGTTACACACGAGGAAACTGTATGTGGCCAGTCAGGCTTTCTGAAAGGGGGACTTGAGCAGAGAGGAGCATTCCAGAGAATTTTCAGAGACTGCTCCTGGCTTTAGAGGTATACCTGGGGACAGACAGGCAGGAGAAAATGGAGGACCAGGCAAAAGGTGAAACTGATTGTAATTCCAACTTCCCTGGGACTCTAATCTAGCTCAAGGGGCACTGTGAAGCTGAGATGTCCCTTTAGAGATGATTCAAGACAGGATGAGGGCCCCTGCATTTCCTGATCCTGTGTCATGCCTAGTCACTAACAAAACATCCAGCAAAGGGGAGGCAAACCAGGGCAGGTTCCAGAAAAATCAACAGAGGAGTGTCTACTTGTGATACTCCCAAGAAGCTGGGAACTGACTGCCAGTCCCAAAGCTAGCATGGCTGGTGCAGCTCAGTCCACCACACTGAGTTCAAGAAGCTTGCCCAATGTGGGAGCATTTAGAAGCAGAAAAGGCAAGGTGAGAAACTAGGGCATCCGGCCTTAAGACTGCATTTACTTGTACTGCAGTGCAGGTGGCTGGGGCCGGATGAACACAGTCCCTCCCCTCTCAGCATGTAAAGGACATTGGTCCTAGGCCCTTCCTCAGATTCCAAAATCTGCAGATGCTCAAGTCCCTTATGTATAATGTACAGTGGCACTGTAGTTATTTGCATATGACCACCTCTGGATTGTGTAGAATACCTAACACAATGGGCATGAACAGTTGCTATACTGCATTGGTTTCTGAGTGACAGCAGGTAAACAATCTTTACATGCCCCAGTGCAGATGCACATACAAAGGCCTCCTTACAAAGGTCACAAATGAAGCTAGGGTAGCATACCTTAAATGACAGGTGTTAGAGGCAGACTCAGGCTCTGAGAGATGGTATCAGGCTACAGCTGTGGAAGACTATACCCCATTCATGTGAATTCAGGGTAGTGCTTAGTATATGGCAAATGAAATTTTGATTTGGGGAACTTTTGTTTTTGTTTTTTTCTACTTTGATACGTGGCTGGTTGAATCTGATGAGGACTATTTCTAAGCAGAGGACAGCAATGTACAAACTTTGGGGAATAGCACAGCTCTTGGTAATGGAGAACAGGTAGAGGCAGATAGCTCATAGTGGTGAAAAGACATCTTACCTCCTTGTAAGAGTGAAATTTAGGTTACAGCACAAGACTCAAGAAGTACACAGAAAGAAAAATGTCAACCTCCACACACTCTGGTCCCCTCTGCTCCCAGGATGCAACCAATTTCACCAGTTTCTTGTGTATTCCCCCAGAGAGAGCATACACATGTGTCAGCACAGGTACACGTGGACATCACATCCCACGGCCTTTATATCACATCTCCACGTCATTCCGCACTGTTCTTTCTATGTTAACACCATGGCTTAGACGTGCTTCAGTGATGTTCCTATGGAGCTACATTATCCCCTTAGAGACAAGATATAAAGCTTTTCCATCACAAAATGATGTGCTTTCCTGTTATTTTTATGACACTGGGAGTCAAACTGAGTATCTATCTTGTGCTTGTAGACAAGTCTCTACCACTAAGCTGCACTCACTACTATACTTTTGAACCAGATCTCCTTTGATGGACATTCAAAGATGTTTTAACCCTTAAAAACTTTTATTTTGTTCTGCATTTTTTAAAAATGTGTTTGAGAAAAAGTCTCTTGTGCAGCCTAGTTTTGCCTCAAACTGATGGCAACCCTCTGTTTCAGCCTCCCAAATGCTGGGGACACAGTCTTGCATTACTCTGCCCAGCTCTTTTTAAATAACAAATGATGGGATATGGCTCAGTGGCCAAGCACATGTTTAGCATGTTCTCCTATCATTGGTTTTGATCCTCAACACCCCTCAAATGAAGCAAATAACAAACAATGCTGGAATGTGTTTGTATACTTGGCAGTTTGCACATGAGACTGCATTTCAGTGAGATGAAGTCTCAGAATTACTAGACCAAAGGAAACACAGTTTTTATTTTGACAGAGTCCAACTGCTCTTCATGGGTGTCTACACATTGTCCAGTAGAGTAGTCCGGTTGCCCCTAGTCCTGACTCAGTTAATATGTGAAAGGATGGGTGTTCTGCAGCTTGACGCCAGAACACTGGCCGATATGCCCGAGGCCCTCAGTCTAGTCCTTACCATCTGTCAATCTGTAGAAAACATTAACCTGCCATGACTTTATACTGCCCTTATCTTCACCAGCAAGGTTAAACGCTTGCTTGTGTATTCAAGAGACAATCACGGCTCCTCCCCAGTGCACTACTCCCATATCCTTGTGTATACGCCAACCGGAATGATAGGAAGTTCCTTCCTGCCGCCAGTGACAACTACTTAGAACTATTTAAATGCAGAGACTCACCTGCCTCTCCCTCTGCGCTGTTTCTGCCTCCAGCTCATGTGCTCCTCGGTGCAGAAGGCCCTGTTTGAGGAAGAGGACCACGTCAAGAAGCTGCAGCAGAAGGTGGCCACCCTGGAGAAGCGCAACAGGCAGCTCCGTGAGCGGGTGAAGAAGGTCAAGAGGTCTCTGAGGCAGGCGCGGAAGAACAGCCGCCACCTGGAGCTGGTTAACCAAAAACTCAACGAGAAGCTGGTGGGCGGAGGTGCTCAGCAGTACATTAACGCCCTGAGCCGGGAGTCCGCGCGCGCCCCCTACCTGCACGGGTAGCAGGTGCACGTGGATGCAGGCCTGACTTGCCTGTCCCCGCAGACTGAGAGAATAAACGTGGGTTCTGTACACGCACTTATTTCAAACATTGTAGGAGACACCCGTTGGGCATTTGGTAGAGTCTAACTGGGTAAAATGGCAAGTCTTACTTTCTTTTCCATTGGGTGCTGGCCTTACTCGGCTTCAGACCCTATGTGTGGCATGCTCTTTTTCTGTTCTGGTGCCACACAAATAGCTTAGAGCCCGGAGGCAGTAGAATCCCCGAGTTCTGGGCCATCTTGGGTCTGACCCTCAGCTTCTAGAGAGTCTCTTCATTGTAGAGAGAACATTCTAGAAGATAACACGGGACTCCGCTTTTATTTCAGAAGACAGTCTGTGAATCCCAGAAACCAGAGCTGGCACAAGCATGTATTCTGATGAGCTACAGTTGTAGAGAACATTCTGGAATGTTCTGCTGCTTTTGCTCATGGTTTTAGACGCAGGGTGCCTACATGCAAATGTGTAGGTACCCGTACTCCAGGTAGCATTTCCCTCACAGCCGAAGTTCATTAAGACTTAAGGAGTTCATCACAGGATAACTGAGCAGGGAGCTGAGGCAGCTGGTAATTGGTAAAGATAAATCACACCAGTTTTCCAGCCCCAGATCCCCAGGGCTGACGTGATACCTACAGGTTGTTTTACTCTAAAGAGCAGTTACTTTTGTGGACACACCATGTTTCATGATGTCGGGACTCAAACTAGTGTCTAGTGCTTGCCAGGCAAGTCTCTACCATTGAGCTCTACCTTCAGCCCTACTATGCTTTTAACCAGATTTCCTTTGATGGACATTTAAGGATGTTTTCAACCCTTGTTTCCAAATTGGAATTTAGCCCTGACATCACTGTGGAGTCTTAACTTGGTTTGCTCTGGCTGCTAAGCCTTTGAGTTTAAGGTCAGTGACCCCAAAACACTGAGACTGTTTACTCTGCAAATGCATCTCCCTGCCTGGTGGAACTTAGTAAGGGCCATGTTCCCATACAGGCTCCTAAAGGGTGTTGTCCAGGTACTCCAACCCAAGCTTCTACATAAGCCCCAAGCCCTATCTGGAAACACATACATGCTCTCTGCCCAGGTTCACCACAAAAGGTCTGTAGATCCCCTGGTAGAAATACTTGCACAATAGTGCACTTTCCTTTAAACAGTTCTTTAACAAAAAGTTTTCTTTGCAAAGACAACTTCAAGGAAGTTCCATAAGAGCGCTCTGACTGTCCTTACCACAGCCAAGACTGACCATGACTCAGCTGTGTTATTCGGAAGTCAGCAGAGTGGCTGCTGCTTCATCTCTCCTGCTGATGGACCTCCGGACCAAATGCCCTTCCATGTTGTCCCACCAACAGAAAGAATGCTTTGGCTGTACAATGTCAATCATGCAAAGTCTACTCCGTTCACATGAGGCTGATAAAATGGCCATTACTGTCACACTGCTACCTTTCTGCTTTTAGGAAGTCCGGGCAACTCTATGAGAAGTATCTTGTATCATATGAGTATTGTGCCTTTGGCTGGACTGGGCATGATGGGAACTTCTGTTCTGGGACCAATATTCCTCCACCCTCACCCCTTAGCCCCTTGAGCAGTGCTATTCATAATTTGCTACATAGGAGTGCCTTCTCGTTAACTCTCCTGGGGGAACATTTAATTAAAGCAGTTTTGTTACCTCCCAAGAGAATAACAAGCTTAGAGGTGACAGAGCCAGGACTCAGAGAACTGTGGAAGCCAAGATGTACTGTGTTCTGTTTTTCCAATAAACACGAGCAGTGATTCCAACAGCAGTGAAACAATGAGCATGTCTTTGGATCCAGGAGGTTTCATGATTTCCAGCTTCAGCCTGGAAAAGTGATTTCAAGCCTTTGGGGAGACATCTGGGAGTGACCCTGGGACTGTTCAAGCCTGGTCTCCTGTCATTCCCTGATGGATGTGACCTGAGTCTCCCTCCCTCTGGGTTCCCATCACTCAGCACACCTGTGCTCCTGCTCTGCTGGTCACAGGGGACAGGAGGTATTATTAATCAGTATCTTCAGATGTGCACCGATGTCTTGCTAAAGGAGACTTCCCCAGGTCCCATAATCTTCTGCCTTGTCGTCTTTCCACAGCCCTTGCCACCTGTTATGCATCTGAGTGAAATGTTTAATATTCCATAAAAAGATGACTCCAAGCATCACTCAGAACATGCCACACTTTCTCCAGTCTGTTGTGGTACCTTCTGTGAAATGCAGGCTACTGTCTCATTTCCCTTCAAGGTACCAGAAGACCAAGTGACTTCCAAAATCACACAGTAAGCAAGAAGCAGATAAACTTTCAAATCTTCAAATGACAGTCCCACTGGCCACGTGTGGACAGCAGTGAGCGTGGGAACGAGGCTTTGTTAGCTCTAAAGTATGTTGAGGGACAGCGTCTTTGGTGGCTTTTATATTTTAGGACACTGCCTCTGCTGGACCGTTTACTCCCCTTTAAAACACCTGTTTTAAATATCAGCTATATTACACATTATGACCCTCATCTGGTAGAAGTTACTGGAATTCTTGCATCTGGAACACCATACTTATTTAGCTTTGAAGAGACAGATCACAACCTCAAATCACAATAACATTCAATCAAATGGCAGAATCAACAACAACTCATAGTCTATGAGGATTTTTTTGTTGTCTTTTTTTAGTTTTTTTTTTTTTTACCAAAATCAAGTTCCCTAACTGCTATGGTGGCACACACCTGTAATCCAACACTTGGGAGGCAGAAGCAGGAGACTCATAGGTTTGAGGACAGCCTGGGCTGTGTAGCAAGACCCTGACCCACTTAAAAACACCAAAGCACCCCAGTACTAGGCTCTTTCTCACAGATTATCTCATTTAATGTTCTTAATAATTTTTAAAGGAGAAAGCTCAATTCCTAGTCTCCATCAGGAATCCAAGGCTTCAATAAATAAACGGCCCAAGGAGCACAACTGTGCGGGCGATCAAACAAACACACAATTCTACCTTCGATTCACTCTGTACCTGCTCATCTGTAAATGGGACAACCATGTCTCCTGCCCCAAGATTAGCAGGAGGACTGGGACTGACATCAGATGTGCAACACAGCTCTGACACTTGTTGAATCCCTTCCTATTCCTCCTTCTTTCTATTATCAACATTTACCAGAAAGTTTCAGTGTGTGTCACAATAAGGAAGTCTATCAGACAAGAGGAAAAGTGAGGGAGAGGTGACTGAAGCCAATCATAGTATATGATGCACATGTACATATGTGCTGCACATGTACATATGTGCTGCACATGCATATGAAAGCCACAAGTCAGTAATTTTGTAGATGAACATGACATAATCAACTCTGTTGGAAACAGACTATTTGGTAGGATTGCTTATAATTTTCTTATTGACCCCCATATGAATCTTTGGACCTTTTTCTATCTACCATAAATCTTTTGCTTTTTCAAAACTTTCTAAGCACCTCCCTTTTTTCCACACACAGTAGTTGGCTGTTCCTCCGAATTATAAAGAAAATGCAACCCGTTACCAGTGTGTTCCCTCAATTCTCTCACCTCCACTCACACTATGTGGGTTTGCTGGCCTCCTCTTCTCCCACCACCAAGGGGAGACCTGCTTCTACTGCTCCATGCAGGATTTGTAAGATTTCCTTTCCCTGTAATGACATCATATGTGCTGGAAACACTCTCAGATTCACGTGTTCAAGGCAGGACTTTTGGGAGTTAATTAGGAGTTAAAGAGATGAGAGTGCCCTCCTATGATGTTATTAGCAGCTATACAGGAAGAGAGGCGCCTGAACAGGTACTATTGATCACTCAGTCTATCATGTTATGATGGCCACTAGATAAAAAGCACCATGCCCTTAGGCTTTCTAGTCTCTAGATCATGTGACAAATAGTCCCCTAATAATGAATCACCACCTCAGTTATTTTGTTATAGCAACAGAAAACAGACTAAAACATCTGATTCCAATATGCTCTTCTTTAAACATAGGTCTTTGTCATTGGGGACTCTTGTCCTTACCTTCCAAGCATTCCCAGACCTATTCACACCATGACAAAAGCCAGAAAGAAACATGGCAGCCCCAAGCACATCAGTGGTCCATGATGGCCCTGATACTCCTTGAAACTGGTATCCTGGTTCTGGCCTTTAATCCCTAGTGGAAACTCTGAATATCTATATAAGCGATGACTTCTACCTTCTACTTCTCAGGACCTCCTCAGCCTGTGAGGACTGGGTTTTAGTCCAGGCTACTGTTCTCAGGCAGCAGATGGCCAAAACTGCATGCCCCCACATTTATCTCCCACATTTATGAACCAACCAAAACAAAACAAAACAAAAAACACTTGACTTGATTAAAAACTTATCACCACCAAGACTTTCTTCTTCCTTTTTCACACTGTCTTCCTAACTTCCTGACCACTGTGAAATGACTATACTAGCTTTCTCCAACCAATACTTAAACTTACAAATTCTAATGACAACAAAACTGCCATTAATAAATATATATGTAGTTATGCAAGTGGTTTCTATTAGAACCTTCTTCGGTACTGGAAATAGTGGAAGCTGTTAGCTCTTAGAATGCAGTTAATATCAGGGGTTGGAGGGGTGGCTCAGCAGTTATAAGCACTGGTTGATCTTTCAGAGGATCTGAGTTCAGTTCCCAACACCCCACAGCAGTTCACAATCATCTGTAGCTCCAGTTCTGTGGGATATGGGACTCTCTTTTGGCTTTCATGGGCACTACATACATATAGTGCATAGACATACATGCAAGAAAAACTCCCATACAGATAAAAAAATCAATAAATCTTCAAAAAGTTATTAGTGTTACTGAATAGCTAAGTTTTACTTAAGACTCATTAACTAAAATTTTGTTTTCTCTTATTTTTATATAAGATCTGGAGCACATTTCCTTTTGAAAGTCTTGAGTACTGGCACCCCTGGGAAGCTGAGAAGTAGGCATCCTCTGATCTTTCACTCAGAGATACCTGTGGGAAATCCTCCTTATGGCACAGAAAACACATAGTGTATTGAACTTCAAGAGACAAAGTGAACATATTAGCTGTAAAGGGAATCAGAGCCAAATAAGTTATCCAAATGTGTGGTCAGTTGTGGGGTTGCACAGACAAAAAGATGCTCCAACTAGTAAACATTGAACTGATCCCTATAACTAACATCAATTAATCTAGGTGTGGTCCTGCGGTAGTTAATATGCATGGAGTTCCAGGATCATCCTCAATGCCACAAAAGAAGGTTTTAGAATCAATAATGATGTTTGTGCAACATTGTGAAAATGAACCAAGACTCACTTAATTATATACTCAACAAAAAGAAAGTAACCCCCTCATTCCTCCTGCCATCTCTCCCTCTGTATTTGTCATTTTCCTTATTGCTGTCCTAAAATACTTGACAAAAGCAGTTGAAAGGAGTACAGACTTATTGTGGCTCAAGTTTGGGGTACAGCCCCACCATGCCAGGGAGGGCATGGCATCAGGAACCTGAGGCACTGGTCACACTGCATCCACAGTTGGGAGGCAGAGTGATGACTGTTGTGCACCACACACTTTCTCCTTTTTATTTATCTCAGACCCCTAGCCCACAGAATGCTACCACCCACAGGTGGGGGCTCTCTTTCCACACCAACTAACCTAATGTAAAAACTCCCTTACAGACACAACCAGAGGTGTGTTGCTACCTAGCTTCTAAATCTAAATAAGCTGACAATCAAGACTAGCCATTTCACCCTCAATATTCTTCCTCACCCTAAGCCATATCCCATGCAATTCTCCCAGAACCCAATGTCTTTGACTATATCATATATTTTCTTTCCTTTGGCCTCTCTTTGTCCATCACTGAGAAAAATCCCATTTATGTTTAAAACTGTCTCAAGTACATGATTCTTAATCTCCATAGCAACAGTTATAGTTCCTTCCATTTTTACAGTTTTGAGATAAGTAGTTATTGAGAAGTCTTGGGATAGTCTAGCTAAGCCATTTGGAAGGTTTTACTAAATATAATTTTTGAAATGTAGTAAAGGGTACAATATAAATGGTTAAGATGGCAAGTTTTGTGAGTTCCCAATACAGTAGAAGTAAACATATTTGCACCATTGTGCAAGAAGTAAACATCACAGAAACCTTGATGGGAGAAGCCTTTCTTCACCCATCGTCTGCTGGTGGAATCTGTTCCTGCTTACTCTATAGCCCTATGATATTTGAGGGACACTCCTATTGTCTAGAATTGAGCACCTGGCAAATTCACCATTGAATCCTCACTGGTTAACATAACACAACACAACACAACACAACACAACACAACATTATTAATGCCTGGGGAGAAAAGAACCAAGCAATGGAGGCAGCATTCTGTGCTGAGCTTCTGTTCCTTAGAACAATAGAGAGAGTCAGGGAAGGAGACCCTAATGACTTCCTTTGTTTCTTGAGAAGCCAGACCCTTGAGTAACCAGGTCCTAGGCACAGAGATCTACAAGCAGGGCAAGAACACACTCAGCCCACCTCTTTCTACGTGGGAGTCAGAGTCGCCTAACCATTGTTAAATCACATGGCTTATACATTAAGCAGGTTCCACTCTCTCAGGGAAAGATGACAATGTTATACAGCTAGAGTCACATATGCCCTACTTTCCTCCTCAGCCATGTAGTATAGGTCACACATGAACTAAACCTGCTTCTTTGCGTGGAAGACTCTTCTCACAGAAGCAGACACCTTGATTTGTCCCAAAGAACTAAAACACTCCTTCAGCTGATCCCCTACCCACCAAGCC